ATAAGTCCTTTTGTTCTTGAACTCCTTTTTGCCTTTGAATCCATTTTTCTTGGAGAGTTTTGGACAATCCGGCTTTATGTGACCTTACTTTCCACATTCATAGCATGTGACATCTTGTGTTGATGTGGAGGCTTCTTTATCTTTATGCTTATAAAATTTCTTTCTTTTGACAAAGTTAGCATTATGAAGATTATTTTTATGACCAAAATATTTTCCTAACCTTTTTACAAGAAGTAAGAAGTTTTCATCTTCCTCCGATGCATCTTTATCTTGACTTTCTTTTGAATCAACTTTCAAAGCAATGCCTTTGGATTTCTTCTCATGATTCTCATGTTTTTCAAGCCTTCCAAGTTCCGTCTCATATTCTTGAAGCTTTCCGAAAAGTGTTGCGGAAGTCATAGTTGCTAGGCTTTTCTTTTCGGATATTGCCGTCACTTTTGGTTGCCATTCCCTAGTTAAAGACCTAAGCACTTTAAGATTTAATTCATCGTTAGTTAAAGTCTTACCGAGTGCCTTCAAATGGTTTGTCAAGTGAACGAATCTCTTTTGCAAGTCAAGGATGGATTCTCCGGGCAGCATTCTGAATAATTCATATTCTTGACTCAAAGTGTTAAATCTAGACCTTTTGACTTCGGAGGTTCCTTCATGATTTTCTACAAGAGTATCCCAAATTTCCTTTGCTGTTGTACATGCCGATACTCGGAAAAATTCATCCATACTAAGAGCACTTTGGAGAATATTGATTGCCTTTTTGTCAAAGAGAACTTTTTTCTTGTCATCGTCATCCCATAATGCTTTAGGCTTTGATGACCCAACACCATTGACAACACACTCCGGAGTAAATGGACCATTCTCAACAGCATTCCATATTTCTTCTCCTTGCGCTTCAAGATGAGCCTTCATGAAAATTTTCCAAAAGTCAAAGTATTCACCACAAAACAATGGAGGCTTGTTGTTACTACCACCATCTTTGAAAACCGGATTTTGATTTGCGGAAGCCATTCTGGATCTTTAGGAACAAGTTACCTATAACTTGCTCTGATACCAATTGTAAGTCTAAGAGTGCCTAAGAGGGGGGGGGGGGGTGAATTAGGTATATAAAAATTTATTCGGTTTTATGAGAATACTCGTAGTAATTTGTGGTTAAGTGTTTGAAGGTTTTTGACTATATCTTATCTTTTCTTGATTATGGGGATAAAAACGATAAAAGCGGAAAAGTAAAGAACACGGCGATATATCCTGGTTCCCCTTACAATCCGAGAGTACTCCAGTCCCCTTTCCAACACGAAAGAGATTTCACTATAGTTTAGAATGATTGTACAGCCTATGCTTACTATCTAACCTATAGGGTGACCAAAGGTTCTTAACACCTTTAAGGTCAAACAAACACTAATGTGAATGAAGAACAATCCTCTTCAAATCACAACACTTACTTCTAACAATCCTGGATAGTAAGGGAACACCTTTAAGGTCAAACAAACACTAATGTGAATGAAGAACAATCCTCTTCAAATCACAACACTTACTTCCAACAATCCTGGATAGTAAGGGAATACTTTATTTTTGTAATACAATGATTTATTTGAAAGAGATGGAGAGCACTATCAATCTTTGATTGATCTTCTTCTTCAAGAAAGAAACAATTCTCAAGCAATGATTATAAATGTTCACAATGAATGTATGAAACTTGTAATGATTTCTTAATGAAAATGTATATGGCAAGTTTCACAAAATTTATGATTTGTAAGAACACTTGAAAGTTTGTAAGAATATGCAAATTTGAATGATGAGAATTGTTAATTGAAGAAGGTTATTTGAATTTGAAAATCTGCACAATTTATAATGTCACAAATACCTCTTCATTCATGCCATTTGATATGAAAAGATGCAATGCAATCATGAAAGAATACCATTTGAATTATGTTCAAAAAACAAAAGAAAATCTGTACTGGTTCGCTGGGAACCGGTTCCGACCCAGGCAGAACCCAGTTCTTAGTGAACGTTATAACCCAGAATTCAAAAATAACACGCAGGAACCGGTTCCCCTATAGGTACAACCCGGTTCCTGGTACAAATTCCAGGGAAGTGATTTTTTTAACAAGTTTGGAACCCGGTTCCCTGTTAGGTAGGAACCGGTTCCTGAAAGTTTATTTTCAAAAAATCCTTTTGAAAAAGATTTCAAACATAGTTTTTCTTATTGTTAAAAATGTGGGATATGTATATGATTATGAATGCATATTTGTGAACATCTATATTCAAGTTTAAGAATTATTTATACCTTTTTACATTTGTTGTTTCTTTAATAATTCTTCTTCTAATCTTCAAGACTTGTAACAAGGTTTTATATGATATTGATAAACTTTTTGCACATCCTTTGAATGTTGATATTCAGGTTGTCTTCATCAAAACCAATGCTTTAAACATGACTTGAGAAGCTTGCAATTACAATGTCCCGATCCTGTCTCCGCAGGGGAGATCAGGGACGTTCCCCCGTTCGTCGAGGAGGTGGGGATTGAGGCTTCCTGTGTCTTCTAAGGGGCCTTCGGTCGTCTTCAAGTGCTCTCAGTCTTTCCCTGGGCAAAGATGAGATAGTTGGCCTGGTTAATTGCCGCGAACAGTGTCCTGGTCGTGGCGTCTGCCCCAGCGGGGACAAGAACCTCTTGGAATTGGACGGATGGGTAGTTCGGGGAAACTGGATTATCTTCTTCAAGCCAAGGAGGGATTGATGAAGACGAGGCCGTGGCTCCATCTCGGTAGTTGGAAGTCCCGACAATGTTTCCTCCGGGGGCAGTGATATGGCCGGTGGCATCGGCGTTGTTGGGGCCGACATTGTTGTCGGCGAGGTTGTTATTAGCCTCGATGACGCGGACGTTCTGGTTGTCCTGAGTCTGGTCAGCCATGACAGTCGATGATGGTTTTAGCTTTGGTCTTTGTAAGTGAGTAAGACGGGGAAGCTTAGATTCCCACAGACGACACCACTGATTGTACCTAATCAGAATTAGACCGTCACAACTGTCTTTGAATTGGATTTGAAGGAGATGGGGGGGGTACCTGCAAGACACTCTGATGATAAAGTGAGATACGGAATGAGCAGGCAAGTAGTATATAAGTGTGAATGAATGAATACCTGACCCTCTTGAAATAGAGGGTATTTATAGCTCCCAGCGCTAGGTCAAGGTCCCTTTATTGGGCTGACCAAACAGGCCCAACAAAGGGACTTCCAGGTTTCACGTGAGTAGTGGGGACCTGCACGTGGTCCCCTACCTGGATGATGCTCTCCGCAGAATAGAGAGGGTAAAGACGCGATCTTTCCGGGACCCTGAGAACTCTGAGACATCCGGAGAGGTTGAAAGTCTGCCCTACGAAGAGGATACTCGAGCAGGGCTTAGATTGGGATGTTCCTCGTCTAGAGCGTTTCTCATCGGGGACGTTCTTCGCAGTCACCGGCGGGCACGATCGTATTCGACCTGTCGCCCATGATCGGGTGTGCTTGGAGGGTCTAACGCCCAGCGTAACACGTTGTAAAGCTTGAATTAGGCCTCACTGGTGATTGGGCCACGGGCAGGCCCAGTCCAGAACAGTGTTTCAATTTTAAAAAAAACGAATATAAATTTTTTATAATATTTTAAAAAATGGTTTTGAAAAATCTATTTTAAAAAATATAAAAAAAAAATATTTTTTTAAAGTTGAAACAAACTGTCTTAAATCATACTTTTAAATTTAAAATATTTATATGACATAATTGAATGTTATGATTGTATTAAATAATTGTGTAAAACAAGTTTACATTAATAATACACTATTTTTAATCTCATAATTTTAATTTAGTACTTTTAAATATTAATTAATTAAAATTTATAAAAGATTTTTTTTATATAAGCCTATTTCAAATTAACATCATCTCAAGATCAAGTGTTTGAAAAATTTATCTAATAATTGAATAGGTATATTAATGTGTTGAATAAATAGTTCAAAGTGAAATGAATTAATGTGTTAAAACATTCTATGATTGTTTAGATTTTTAATTTATCTTAATTATTTGGATTCAATTATTTTATAATAAAATTATTTTTATTTTCATCAAAATTTATCATTTTTTTCTATAAATAGAGATTTAGTTCATTTAATTTGAATATACAATTATTCTAATTAACCTCTAATAAACTCTTAATTATTTTAATTTTATTTCAATCAATAATTGATATTAATATAAAATCATAAAAACAAAAATATAAAAGAAAATAAAAACATGAAATAAAAATGGTAGAATAACAAGTTGAATTTTATGAAACAAAACTATTGTAGTGAATAAAAATTGAATGAGTGTTAAATTATTAATAGAAGAAAGAAAAGATGATGTAGAATATAAAAAATAAAAAATGAAAGTAATGAATATGTAAATCATTGTACATTAGAGAATTTCATGTTATATTTTAAACCATTTTCATTCTGAATTTTGCCACAAAGCTCATGTTTTTTTCTACAGAATTACATGCAAAATCTAGTTAGTTGTAATCAAGCCAGAAATTTAATAGTTTTTTTATTTCAAAATTTTTGTGGAAAGTCTACACAGCAAGCAATGTTGGAGAGGGTAGTAAGATGGTGCACATTGCCTATCTGTTTCTTCACAAAATATCAAAAATGTTATTCATATATTCTCATAGTTTATTGTTTTGCTGAAGAGAAAAGAGCGTGATAGAAGTATATCTAGTATCTACCACCCCAGGACAACACAGGAAACTTCTAATTACTCCAATTTCAAGCGCATCAATAGTTAAACACATAAGGTTCAGTAATATTTTGACATCAAATAAAAAACGAAATAGTACTTGATCATTCAAACTATAGCAAATAGCAAATGTTTATGAACTAAACCATGAGAACATAATCATACAAATACCAGTGCAAACTAAGTTTCAAGGGCCATTATATACTCAACCCATTCAATAACAAGTTCAGAAATATTTAAAACCAAAGACCTGTAAAGGACTGTCAAATGCTTAGAATCCACCACGAAGACGCAACACAAGGTGGAGAGTAGACTCTTTCTGAATGTTATAGTCAGCAAGAGTCCTTCCATCCTCCAATTGTTTCCCAGCAAAGATCAACCTCTGCTGATCTGGTGGGATTCCCTCCTTGTCCTGTATTTTTGCCTTCACATTATCAATTGTGTCTGAACTTTCTACCTCCAATGTAATGGTCTTTCCTGTCAAAGTTTTCACAAAGATCTGCATTCCTCCCCTCAAACGTAGGACAAGATGAAGGGTGGATTCCTTCTGGATATTGTAATCGGCCAAGGTTCGGCCATCTTCGAGCTGTTTTCCTGCAAAAATCAGCCTTTGCTGGTCTGGGGGGATGCCCTCCTTGTCCTGTATCTTAGCCTTCACATTGTCGATTGTGTCCGAGCTCTCTACCTCCAAAGTAATGGTCTTTCCGGTCAAAGTCTTCACAAAGATCTGCATACCTCCCCTCAACCGTAGGACAAGATGAAGGGTGGATTCCTTCTGAATATTATAATCGGCCAGAGTTCGGCCATCTTCGAGCTGTTTTCCAGCAAAGATAAGCCTCTGCTGATCCGGTGGGATACCCTCTTTGTCTTGTATCTTGGCCTTCACATTGTCAATTGTGTCTGAACTTTCTACCTCCAATGTAATGGTCTTTCCTGTCAAAGTTTTCACAAAGATCTGCATTCCTCCCCTCAAACGTAGGACAAGATGAAGGGTGGATTCCTTCTGGATATTGTAATCGGCCAAGGTTCGGCCATCTTCGAGCTGTTTTCCTGCAAAAATCAGCCTTTGCTGGTCTGGGGGGATGCCCTCCTTGTCCTGTATCTTAGCCTTCACATTGTCGATTGTGTCCGAGCTCTCTACCTCCAAAGTAATGGTCTTTCCGGTCAAAGTCTTCACAAAGATCTGCATACCTCCCCTCAACCGTAGGACAAGATGAAGGGTGGATTCCTTCTGAATATTATAATCGGCCAGAGTTCGGCCATCTTCGAGCTGTTTTCCAGCAAAGATAAGCCTCTGCTGATCCGGTGGGATACCCTCTTTGTCTTGTATCTTGGCCTTCACATTGTCAATGGTATCAGAACTCTCAACCTCAAGGGTGATGGTCTTTCCCGTCAGAGTCTTCACAAATATCTGCATCCCACCACGGAGACGAAGCACCAAATGGAGTGTGGACTCCTTTTGGATGTTGTAATCAGCAAGGGTTCGCCCGTCCTCCAGTTGCTTTCCAGCAAAAATAAGACGCTGCTGATCTGGTGGAATCCCTTCCTTGTCTTGAATCTTGGCCTTAACATTGTCTATGGTATCTGAACTCTCAACTTCGAGAGTGATGGTCTTGCCAGTCAGGGTCTTCACAAAGATTTGCATCTATATTATAGAAAACAAACAAAAACAAATGAATCAATCACCAATTCTTCATCAAGGCTACAACAAAGTGAAATCAGTACGTGCTACCGAAAACTTAATCACTGATATAAAAACAATTTAAGAACATAATTAACAAAAACTCTTACATAAGCAATTAATCTGCCAACAACCCTGATTATAAAATTACACTTCAATATATCATTTCCAATCAAGAAAACAATTGAATCAATAACCCTAAACTACTCTACTTAAAGGACTACTAGAATCATAGAATACATAATCAAATCTGAAAATTTAAGAAACAGTGTTACCACCGATCAAAACAATTTAAAAGCATAATCAACAAAAACCCTAAATAATCATAAACCGGGCAACAACCCTGATTACAAAATTACACTTCAAATTCAATAAATAATTTCAAATCAATATATGAATCAAATCAATAACCCTAAACAAATCCAATTAAGTGACTTCTATAATCATAAAATACATAATCAGATCTGAAAGTTTAATAAACGGCGTTATCACAGATCGACCTTGATCAAGAAAAAATTGAATGAACCAAGAAAATTTCAGATACCTCCGCTTGAGTGATTATTGAGAGATTTAGATCAATTCAGAATAAATTCACGCGATAAAATTCAGATGAAAAACAAAAGCGACAGATTCAAATATGGATTTTGAAAAGAAAAAAACACAAACCCTAATAATCGATGTCTAAAAACCAGTATAAAATTGGATTCAAAGATCGATGAAAAGAAAGGTAACAATCTAGGTCATAATTGGGAGAAGATGATACCTTGAAAACGCGATGTTGTGCAGAATTGAAAACCTCTCTTCTTTGCAATGTAAGGAATTGGATCTGATTTCGTTTGTTTGTAGCTACGTCAATATTGGGTTTACGGGATTTGATTTTATATCCAAAAAAACGATAGGATCGGAGGTATCCTTAAACTATCTATAACAAGCGTGTTGAAAAAATTATTAATAGGATCTAACGGGATGTTGAATAAAGATCGAAAGTGAAACATTTAATATATTGAATGAAGAAGAAGTGAGTATACAAAATTTTATTGATTGATGTAATCGTATACGTTTTTAATTTATTTTAATTATTATTAATCAATTATTTTATAATAAATTAATTATTTATTTATTTTTATTTTCACAAAAATTTATCATTTTTTTTATATAAATAGAAATTTGATTTATTTGATTTGGATACACAAAAAAATCTAATTACTCTCTCTATTTTTAATATTTAACCTCCAAAATTCATGTGTTATCCATTTTTATTTGTTTTAATAATAATTATTTTTATAAAATTAGAAAAAAAAATTAAAATAAATTAAGAATATAAAATTAGAAAAAAATTAAAATAAAATATTAAATTAAAATAAAATTATTCAACTCTTAATTATTTTAATTTTATTTCAATCGATGATTGATATTAATATAAAATCATAAAAATAAAAATATAAAATAAAATAAAAATATGAAATAAAAATAATAGAGTATGGTGTTGAATTTTATTAAACAAAACCACTGTAAAGAGTAAAAATTGAATAAATGTTGAGTTATTAAATAGAAGAAAGAGAATATGATATAGAATATAAAAATATAAAAATAAAAAAGACCGTTGAATCTGTAAATAATTGTACATAGTTTTAATAATATTTATTGAAAAATCGAGGTGGGAGTATAAGAATTTACTTTTCTAAACCATAACATCAAGCAAGTTTGATGAAATAGCCATCAATCAATCAAGTTTTTTTTAGAAAGATACTCTTTATCCAAAATTATAAGTCATTTTGTTAAAAATATTTGTTCTAAATTATAAGTCATTTTACAATTTCAATATAATAATAATAATTTTTGTCTAATATATCCTCTATTGTTTATTCTCTTTCTTCTTTCAATTTTGATTTCTAATGTAATTATTAAAGGGTATTTTTGTAAAATCATACATTATTTCACTTTTCATAAAATAATAGTTATATTTTTTAATTTGTGTGAAATGACTAAAATGTCTTATAATTTTAAATGAATGGAATAAACACTAAAAGTAATCATCAAAAGTAATCTGCAATATACTATTGATACATGTCATAATGAGATAAATGTAAATAATCATGTATAGCCTAAGTATTAACAAGAAATTTTCCATAAAGTTTTTATCCGTGTAAAATAACTAGTGAGTATTGGTTATAAATGTGATAACTTAGACATTTATAAATGGAAGAATTCAAACATCTATTATCTTAAAATTTTGAATGGGTATTTAGTATGCATCACACAAATGTATGTTACTCATAAAAGAAAAATCATGTATTGATCTTCTGAATAACCCCAACAATAGTATTATGAGCCTAACAAATGTATGTGAAAAGCACAGAAAGAGTTTCCGCCAAAAAGAGCTTTCAGATAAGAAGTTCTAATGTTGTAGCACTCCTCTTATTATTGCATATATGCAACCATGTTAAGCACCGTAATTTGAAATTTCAGATAAGAAGTCACTGCTAATGAATCCTCTGAATTAACATAACTATTTCTATAATGAGAGTTGTAAAAGGGTCCTCTCATATTTGAAATTAGACATTTTACAAAATAGGCATGTTGTCAGAAGTTTCCAGAAGTGTGTTCCATCAGTATGGAAGTGGCGTATCAAGAAATCTCCATCTTATTTGCATTATTGCAGTGGTTGGATTTAAAACAAATTCACTTAATGGTTTTTACATTACCAAGCCAATATTAAAGAAAATGTATATTATATGTTGTAGCGGTAGAAATATTGAGACAAAGTCATTGGATTGACTTAACTCGCACAGATCAAAATAAAAATTTCCACCGCGCTTTATTGTTTCTAAAAGAATGGGAAAAGAGTGAATAACTCAAAAGAGGGGGGGGGGGGAGAATCTAGGTAAGGGGGTTGGTTATGCAAAGGGAAGGTATTAACACCCTAAACATCTACGGTACTTCGCAAGAACCTCTTTGAAAATTTGTATGTTTTGGCTATAAAATATTGTATACAAAAATATATTGTGGGAATGAGAAAAGAAATATTTTTTTAAAATTTTTGTACCCGCCGCGGTTCCAAATCTTTAGTGCCTACGTACCAACTTTCGTGCAATAGGGGATCAGGGTACACGTAGTTCACCTTTTAAAATTTTAAAACACAAGTGTGTTGGTTAATTTTAAGAGACGAGACATCATCACCATTGTCCGAGTGGAAAACATACTTACTACCCACAATTATGAGAAAGGAGAATCTGCACCATCTCAAAGTGGAGGATATAGCTTGGATTTTAAAATCAACAAAGCTTCACTCAACACCCAAGTGGAAAATATCTCACTTCACTACATATTGTAGAAGTATAGTTATTTGTATCACTACAAGGATTAACAAGAGTCTAATCTTTTGAGAAAATTTTAAAGATAAAAGCCAAAATGGCAAAAATAGTTTGAATGAGATTGATTGACTTTTAGTCTTCTCACAAAAATGTCAAAGTATTATTAAGTTGATTAAAGTTTGATTAAAAAAATGATTTTTGAAAATGCATGGACATCAGTCCAAGTTTATTATGAAAGTGGTTCAAATTTTAAAACAAAAAGAGTTTTCAAAAGGAGGGAGAATATTTTTAAAATTAAAGAAGATGGGAGAAGATGAAGGGACTATCCTAAAGCATAAGGTAAAAGCTAGGAAAAAGAACCGTCTAACCAACAAGAAGCCAACACTTGACACAATGAGTCAATGTAGAATTCTCATCCTTTGGATTTTAAATCAAACAAACAATTACAATAACCTCTTAAGAAAACCAATCTCCATTTGTATTAAGTCTTCACAAAAATTGGACAGAGTAACGGTTGTATACAGATGAATTCCAGATCACAGACAAAGCATGTAATCACAATAACCTGCACACAAAACAAACAAACAACCTAATGTCTTAGGGTAAACCCCAAGAGCTCTAGAAAAAATAGCAGTTGAGGTCACAAGGTCTCCAAGATAGGTTAAGGCCCTTAATCCTAAGTCCAAGAAGTCCATCACTCCATAATACCAAGGATAGTAACCAAGTAATCCAAGTAACATTAAAGTTTTTAGAGTTCAAGTTGATTATTAAGTATCTTTAAAAATAAAAAGAAATTAAAAGCTCAAATGAGAAAAAAAATAACAATGACATAAAAGTAAATGTTCAAGTGAGCAAATATGAAAATAACATGAAATGTAAATGCTAAAAAATAAATGTGCTTAAAGTAAAGGTGTAAAGTAAAAGCATAAAATAAAGTCAATTGTTAGGAATTAGTGGTTAGTTGAATGACCATCTTGAAACTTGCATTTGGAACTCATCGGAGGATTGGTAGAACCAAATCCTCTCAACAACAAGTTACATTTGTTTTTTGTCAAGTATATCATCCATTTAAGAATTCTCAAGGCATCATTAAATGATCAATGATGTTTAAGTGATCCACTTTGACCAAAATTGATGAAGATTCATTAGAGGATTGGTAGAAATAAAGCCTCCTAACAATGAATCTCAAGGTTATTGGATCAAAGGGTTCAAATCAATATACTTGGGCTTGCAAACATGGGTTTGGGCCACGAATGATCATTTCTCGAATCGGGACAAAATTTAGCGCTATGTTAATCAATCGTAAGTAGACTTATATAGAAGTCGCACCGATTTTGAGATCGATCAATAGCAATCTATGCACCATATGTTTTGAGACATGATATAGAAATCATGCTCTAATAACATTTAGTACAATTGAGAGAGAGATGGGATGAAGAAGAAATAGGGTAAAAAGTAAACCACATTGGAACCAAAAATTTAATCAAACTATTATTAAAACCATTCATCCATTTTTATGGAGTTAGACTCAACACCATGGATCAAATTATGTTAATAAAGTTCATGATCAAAATTTCATAGTCCAAGATCAGCCAGAATATGTACAAAAAATAAAATAATATTTAAAATAAAAGAAAAAAGTTTTAAATGATTCTTAAATTTGGAAATAAGGGAAAATAGCAATTATATTCAAAACACTCAAGAAAAATTAAGTGAGACCATAGAAAAATCAGAAATGAACTCGAATATTTTTATGAAATTTTGGTAATTTTTTAAAGTCATGAACTATTTTAAAACTAATTTAAATTTCTCAAATAAAGGAAAAAAATATCAAAAATAGTAAAAAATAACATAAAATTCCACAAAAAAATTCAGAAGGTCAAAAATGATGAAAATGATTTTTATAAAAAATTTCAGAATTTAAAAATGTCAGAAAGTATTTTTTTAAACAATTAAAATAAAGCAAACAAAGCAAAAATTATGAAAAATATCAAACATCAAAATAAAAATATGAAAAAATATTCACAAAGTCAGAAATAATTCAAGGTATTTTTGTATATTTTTTTATAATTTTTGGATAAAAAATAAAAGAGTTATGAATTTTTGAAATTTAAAACAATTAAAATATAAAATCAGAAAATAAAAATGAAACTAAAAAGATGTGGACCATCATATCATAGTCACAACGCATTAGTAAACTGGTTAAGTGGACCAGACGCGCTGTGCTTGATATGGACCTTATTTAAAAACACATTTGATCAATAAAAGACCAACCAATAAAAATAAAACAATTGGCGTGTTATTATTGGTTGAGACGAGACATGTCATCATCTTCAACCTCCAGACACCCTACAAATACGAAAAATCTCAAGTCATTGAATCTGTAAATTTAGGCGCTCATAGTGGTATCAATAGACGCGTGTTGTACCCCAAAATTTGCCCTCTCATATTTCTCAAAATATGGCAAGAAAAATCTCCAAGTTGCTCAAGTTTGCTCAAGAGTGGGTCAGACAAGTCATCTCCTAAGGCAGTCAACCCCAAATTAGGGTTTTGTGTTGCATCAAGATATTTGAGTCCAAATGACCTCAAATTCTCCCTAATGTCCTAATATGTT